CATTCAGTGAGTTTTTAAATCAAAGCCCACAGCAGCTGGAGGTGACACTGAAATGCCACCAGTCTGTCTCCGTGTTCTGAGCTTTCCGATGGCATTTTTCATCCTGCTTTTTATTATTTTGCTTTGGGGAGGTGGAGCTGTGACTGTGGGTGACATACTCCTCTGACATCTACAATTTAAGAGGCATTTAAATAACTCCCTTATTCAATGCTGAACATTTTTTCTTCACCCCTCCTAATTCCGATGAAAGCAGCCTTTGGCACAAAGGCCTGGCGCTGAGTTTTAAACCCCTTTATTGCCTCCAAACTTGGGTTTAAAATGAAACTACAGTAAATATTATCTGTACATTCCATGCACAGCTGACACTGAAAAACCTCCAGCATTGTGGTGTGATGGGAAGTGTAGGAAAAGTGTAGGAAAAGGCAAAGCAGGGAGGGGAAAGGAGCAGCTGATTTCCTTCAGGATGTTCCCCCTCACCCCATCACTGCTCATCCCTTTTCCTCCTCCTCTCCCCCTGTTCCCATCGTGGTTGTGCTTTAGGAGATGGAGGAGGCTCCTGGTAATTGGTTAATGAACTATTTTCAATTCAATTCCTGGCTGCACTTGCCATGGAAAATTAACAGTCCTTGGGTATAAATATGACCCCTACTCCTGGATTAATTTGATTATGTGAGAATCTCAGTTTTCATTTAAAAATAATAACTTTCTGGCTGCTCTGATAAAACAAGTTTGGATATGCAGTCTAAATATTCCCCAATGGCTTAAAAATCAAAAGATGAATATGAAGAACATATGAATCTCTTATTAATAAAATTTAAATGTCCTCAAATCTTTACTGTGATTGCTTGAGATTGAATATTTTGAGACCAGAAAATCCCTGATTTTTATTCATTGCTGGATCAGCATTCTCTGAAAGCCAAGTCTTTTTTAAGCAGCTTCATTTGGGTTCACAAATAGACAAATTATATTCATTAATGACTGTGGGTACCTTAACCTACAGTTCCTTTACATTTACTCAAGACTTGTAGCAGAACAATAAATCTGGTGAGAACTGAAATCAGGCTGGTTTGAAAGGAAATGTTTTTTGCAGAACTTTCTCATTGGAACATATTTCATTGTTAAATTTATCTGTTACAGGTGTGATACCACTGGCACACGTGGAACTGTGAGGATAAATGGAATGTATACTGATAAATTAAAAGGTGCCAGAGGATAGGTCTGGGCGCTGGAACTTGATTGTCCACGCTGAGGAATGGTTGGGATGGGATCAAACATGATCTCAACTGGGATAATTAACACTCAAATAGTTTCTAGACATGACTTGTCTATTTTAATGGTTTACTTGTACAGATATGGATTAATGTGGTTTGGGCAGCAGGGAGGGAGGGGATTTCCTTCCTCTTCTCAGCCTCAGGAGACCCCCACTTATAGCTCTGAGGTCTCCAATATAGGAAGGATGTGGAGCTGCTGGAGCAAGTCCAGAGGAGGCCATGGAGATGCTCCAAGGGCTGGAGCCCCTCTGCTCTGGAGCCAGGCTGGGAGAGCTGGGGGGGTTCACCTGGAGAAGAGAAGGATCCACGGAGACCTGAGAGCCCCTTCCAGAGCCTAAAGGGGCTCCAGGAGAGCTGGAGAGGGACTTGGGACAAGGGCTGGAGGGACAGGACCAGGGGGGATGGCTTCCCACTGCCAGAGAGCAGGATTAAATGGGATATTGGGAAGGAATTGTTCCCTCTGAGGACTGTGACATCCTGGGTTGGAATTCCCAGAGAAGCTGTGGCTGCCCCTGGATCCCTGGAAGTGTTCAAGGCCAGTTTGGACGGGGTTTGGAGCCACCTGGGATAGTGGAAGGTGTCCCTTCCCGTGGCAGGGGTTGGAATGAGATGAGCTTTAAGGTCCCTTCCAACCCAAACTGTTCCTTGATTCCATGATAATCCATGTGTGGACAGAACTTGCAGTCAGTGAATCTTCAGCCAAGGGCAGTTGTAGGACTGTGCTCGAAACCATCAAGCGAGAGGCTGCAAAACCAGAGTAATGCCAAAGAAATGGTTTAGCAGCTTTGGATTATCTTTCCATGGATTGTGCTGTGTCACAGATGCAGAGGATGTGGGGAGGATTACTTTTATTAAAACCCAAAGAATTTAAGGAGCACAAGCCAGGCACTGCACCTGTGTGAAGCAGACTTTGCCTGAGGCGAAGCTGAATGTCAAATCCTCCAGGACATGTGTTGCTTTCAGCTCACGCTGCTTGTGTTCAGCAGAGAGCAAAGGATGTCACACGTATTTCTCAGGCTTAGTTTGGGAATTTTGTGGAGTTCTGGCAGTTGAGGATGGAGCAGCATTTGGCAGCTTTGAGAGGAAGTCCCCCTGTTGTTCGGTTGTGAATTTGTATCCATGAAAATTCTGACAGTTTGAAAATAATAAAACAGAGGGAAAAATCTCTTCCTGATCAACCGGCTGTTGAAACCCTGGGGGTCAAGAGATAAAACAATGACATAAAGACACCCCTGGAAGTGTCCAAGGCCAGGTTGGTTGGGGCTTGGAGCAACCTGGGAAAGTGGAAGGTGTCCCTGCCCATGGCAGGGGGTGGAATAAGATGGGCTTTGTTTCCTCCCAGTCCAAACCATTCTGGGATTCTCTAATCCATGTCCTCCCAATTCCAGTTTTCCAAGTGTCTGAATCCAGTTGTGTTCCACTGATGGATTAACCTCTTAAATATGAACCGAATTTGGGTGGAATGTGTTGCTTTCCACATTGGAAGCTGAAGGGAAGATCAGTGTTCCCTGACAATCTCCGTGTCTCTGTAAAACCAGGATTTATCCTACTTACTGCAAGCCCTTATCTCTAGAATGATGATGGGCTTGGAAAAGTCATTTATTCTTTCTGTTACAAGTTACAGGGAAAGGCCTTTTAATTTTTTTTTCTAATTCCATGCTGCCAATGTAATTCTGATTTTCTGGAATTATTCAATCCAATTTGTAGGTGAGAATTAAAATGTTTTCACATGAAAAACTGTGGAGCAAAAAGCCCCGAACTGGGATTTCTCTGATGAGAGTCTTTGTTGAGAGTTTTTATTACTTATGTGTTGTTATTTATGTTGTGACTTTCTTCCTGGGGTTGAATGTATATTTTGTGAAAGTCCTTTTAAATTTGGGGGTTTTCTTTTACTATTTATTGCATCTAGGCAGGAAACACTGGAAGAATTGTAAACCAAAGTATGAATGACAAGAAAATGAATTATTTTATCTGGCAAAGATCTTTGCAATGAAAGTGTGAAGGCATTGGAAGACAACTTGAGCACTCTGAAAATATTACTTTCATTCAAGCCCATCTCACCTCTAAAAGTTTAATTTTAATTTTAATATATTGAAAGCCTCCCCATTTGAAATGAAAACTGCTTCATACATCATCTGTGTCACTCACTCCTTAAATGAAAGCAGCTCTCAGGGCTGGGACGGGGTTAGTTTATTTGATCTTACAAGATGTTTCATAATTCTTCTGACTGTTCACCCCTCTCAGGTGGCTGTAGATCATGTTGGGAGCACCAGCTCTGGCTTATGAGGTTGAAACCTTACTCATATTACTCCTACTCTGGAACCTCCCAACAATTTGCTCCCCAAAGCCCCTCTCCTGTGCCTCAGAGCATTCAATCTTCCTAAATGCAACCAAGTGACTCGTGGCACCTCTTGCTCCAGTTGCAATAACTCTGATTTTCCCTCCTCATTGAGCGTTGAGGAATGTTCGATGCCAGCCCGGGATTAGGAATGTGCCTCCCTGATATTGCTTTCAGAGAATTCCCTGAGAATTCTTCATTTGACCTGTTTTGTTCTTCACCAGGCTCAGGACTAAAGGAAGTAAAATAATGCATGTACTGAGAAATTATCTTGGTTTTCTCCCTGTAAAGTATTTTGTGGGCGGAAATGTGTATTTTTGAGTTAAGGCAGTTTTGTTTCCTGCCGCCCTTGTTGATGATGAATCTTAGGAGATGGAAAAACGAATGGGAGGATGCCAGAGAAAAGGGTTTAAATTGAAAAGAGGGAAGGTTTAAATTAGAGATTGGGAAAGAATTCTTACCTGTGAGGGTGATAAGGGGCTGGGATGGAATTCCCAGAGAAGCTGTGGCTGGCCCATCCCTGGAAGTGTCCAAGGCCAGGTTGGACAGGGCTTGGAGCAACCTGGGATAGTGGAAGATGTTCCTGCCCATGGCAGGGGGGTTGAACTGGGTAAACTTTAAGGTCTCTCCCAACCCAAACCATTCTAGGACTCCAGGATTCTCTAACACCAGATTCCTGCTCCTCCCTTGCATCCATCTCCCTCCCCTCAATGTATCAAGAACAGAAGAGGGTTGATGCTCTCACAGTAACTTCCCCAATAATTTGGGATCTTAAATCACCGTGGGTAACCCCCCCCCCCATTAATTGTCTTTAAGCTGAAATAGAAGAGATTTAGGTGGGATATTGGGAAGAAATTTTTCCCAGTGAGGGTGAGGCCCTGACACAGATTGCCCAGAGAAGCTGCTCCATCCCTGAAAGTGTCCAAGGCGAGGTTGGACGGGACTTGGAGCAACAGGATAGTGGAAGGTGTCGGGGTTGGAACAGGATGAGCTTTAAGGTCCTTCCAACCCAAACCATTCCATGATTCTCTGATTCTCTGATCATATAAACAAGCAAAGGAGAATTATGAGTCCCTGTTTTTCCTCCTTGCATGAGGAGGGTCCTTTCAAGAGCAGGGATTGCTGCTCTGGAGGTTCCTGTCACATCAGGATCAGCTCATTTGTCTCAACCACCAATCTGAAGTTCATCCTCAGTTTCTCTCCTGGCACTTTGGGACAGTATTTTTAAAACACAGAGAACATGAAGTTCCACATTTAGTGATTGTACAGGTTGGCTTTCATAAGTCAGACTTCAAGTTTCCATAGATCTAAAGAAATAAAAAGGTTTTTTTTTTGCAAATCATGTATTCTATTACATTATAACTTGTTTTTTTTTTTTTCTGCCCTTCCAGATAAACATCACGTCAATGGAAACAGAATGGTGGAACCTTTCCCAGAGGGAACACAGATGGCTCTGTTTGGTAAGACATCAATTCTAAAACAAAAGCTCTAAGCTTTGTAGTGTTCCTGAATTCCAAATTCCTTCATTTCAGCCTGAGTTCTCAAAGTTTTAAAATCTGGGCTGCTCCTGCCATTTTCCAATCACTGCCATCAGCTAAAGCCACTGAGCATTTGGGGACATGGCCATGCCTCCCCAAAAATATGCTAGAAGTATTTTTTTCTTAATTATACCAGCAGCAAATTTAAATGGCAAGTTCTTTGTTTTTTGGGACTCTGTAAGTTCGGGGGAAGAGCCTGAACTAGTTGAACTTTCTGATTCCACCTTACCAAGACAGGGATTTTCACACCTCTTCTCCAGAAACATCCTTTAATCCTTTAATTGGGATTGCACAGGGACAAGTCTCGAAGAGCAGGAGTTACTTAGGAGTAATCCCTCTTATTGCTCAGAGAGGGTGTGGATTCTCCTTCACTGGAGATATTCCAGAGGTGTCTGGACACAATCCTGTGCCATGTGCTCTGGGATGCCCCTGCTGGAGCAGGGGGGTTGGACCAGGTGACCCACTGTGCTCCCCTCCAACCTGACCCGTTCTGGGATGGCTTAAAAAGACCTACAAAAGCTCAAAGATGATAAATAACCATGTGATTGTGTAGCTACAGCCTATTTGCTGTGAATTTACCTATTTCTTGGATAGTTTTAGATGCAACAGTAAAATAACAGCATAAAATGTAGTGCTGAGCTGTAAACACTGATCCTTTCACCTGCTGAAAACACAGTGGGATTGATTACACAGCTCCCTCTTCTGCAAAATCTCCTCCAGATGCTCTTATTAATGGTGCATTATTTGTTTCATGGTGTGACTTCTGGTTTTGATTGAGGTACAGGGGGAATATACCTTGGGCTTTGTTCCTGCAGCTGTAACAGAACCTTACAGATCTCAAAAGACTCTTTAAATGATCTTGAGACTCTCCTGTTGTTTGTTCAGCATCACTCGTTGCTGGAGATGCATCTGTTGTTCTTTAGGATAAAGAGATGTGTCCTTGTTCCTACAATGGAGATGAAGCCACTTTTAAGGGTGAGGGTGACTCTTTAATGGAAATCTTTTAATGCTACTCATCCAGTGACCTCCTAATCCAGCTTCCAGATGATTTTAAGGCATGAAGAGCACAGGAGGAGCACAGGCACCTCACAGCCTCACTGGAGGCACTGGAGTGTTACATCAAAAATCAAAAATCAGTGTGTCCCTTGAGGTCTATTCCCAAGTTCAATGATGAGTTGTGGCTGCCCCATCCCTGGAAGTGTCCAAGGCCAGGTTGGACAGAGCTTGGAGCAATCTGGGCTAGTGGAAGGTGTCCCTGCCCATGGCAGGGGGTTAGAATGAGATGAGCTTTAATGTCCCTTCCCCCCAAACCACTCTGGGATTCTGTGTTTCTATCAAACAGGTGAAACTCTAGACATGTTTGTGTTACAAATGATGAAGTAGAAGCCATTCAATAAATGCCTGTCTAGAAAGTTTTCTTGTAGTTTTTATGCTTTGATTTAAAAATATTTTGCCTGTAGTGACTGATTTTGACCCAAAACCTGACCAAGACTCAAAATCTGGACATATATGGAGGGGTCAATAATGTTTTGAAAATAAACATTTCAGGGACTAAATTCAACTTTTGGACAGAGTGGTAAAAATAAAAAATGCTTCAAAGCTGCAGAACAACTGCAAATTTCAGTAAATTAGTACTTTCATCAGTACCATTGTAATTCTTTGCATATTTTAAACACATTTAAATGCTCTGCTGTGTTATCATAGAATCAAGAATGGTTTGGGTGGGAAGGGACCTCAAAGAACATCTTGTTCCAACCCCCTGCCATGGGCAGGGACACCTTCCACTATTCCAGGTTTCTGAATTTTAAGTGCTTCTTTTCCTGTTGCAAATCTCCAGTTTGTCCCAAAGCATCTCTATATTCACTGAACTTTATATGTTTCCTTATTTCTCTAAGAGGAAGCATCTTGCATATGGTGCATTCATGGAAGGGCTTTTATTTACCTCCAGTATAGTCTGGCAATAGTTCAGATTTGTAATTATAACACTTCTAAAATATAGGACTAAATTGAGTTGTATTTGCTTGTCATGCAGTGGCTCATAATGAGATAATTGGTTTCTTGATGTAAACAAAGTATAGACAGAAATAGGATGTTCAGTAACAGAGAAGATCTAATTATGGATGTTTTTAGGGCTGACAAACAGATCCAAGCTTGGTCACCTTCTGCTCCACATTTATTAGACAGCAGCACATTCCAATAATTCCCTAGAGCTGGATTATTGTTGTGCTTTGCTGTGGCTGCCCCATCCCTGGAAGTGTCCAAGGCCAGGCTTGGAGCAACCTGGGATGGTGGAAGGTGTCCCTGCCCATGGCAGAGGGTGGAACTGGATGACCTTCAAAGTCCTTCCATCCCAAACCATTTTATTTCAATGATAAAGTCTTGATCAGGGCAACTTCACAACTAAAGGAAAATAATTTCACTTGAAAGGGGGATGATGTGTTTAAAAATGGATAAATCCATTCAGAATTTCTTTTACTCTTGAAACAGCTCCTGGTGGCCTTGGCAGATAAAAATGTGTGTTAGGAAGTCCTTTGGTCTGACTGAGTTTTCAATTACTACTTTTCACCAAGGTAGGAAAATCACACACAGGAAACAAAGTTTGGCCACCAAGAGAAAATACCTTTTTTTTTTTTTTTGTAGGCAGTAAAATAGAACAAACAATTTTTCTCTCTCGGTCAAAGAAAAAGAAGAAAACTTTAAATCATAATACAGGTCAGCAGATATTTTATCTCTGTCTGAAGAGAATGGAAGAGTTCCTGATGTTGAAACAGGTGTGTGTGCTGTGACCCAGATGTAGGAGAAACATCTACAGAGACATCAGCAGATGTTCCAAGGATCATGTTGTGGAATAATTGAGAGCCAGAGGGAAGGTCTTCCAGAAGGGATTTGTGTTTCTCATGCTAATTATCTTTAAACATCTTGGAAGGGTGAAGGAATTGCACTAATTGGCTGGATTTGTAGAGCTCTGAAGCATTAATGGTGTCCTGTGTTCACATGCTGGTGGAAAAATGGACACTGGATTTCTGTAGATCTGGAATGAGAGAATAAACCTGTAAAGATAAGGCAGAACAAAAAGGAATGGCCTAAACAGAAGATGCTCTGTCCTTAAACCATATCATGTTCCTACTCCTACCTTTCCAGTATGTTTATTAAAGAAATTATCCTTAGTTCCAATTTTCCTTTTTTTTCTGCATTCTAGAACGTGACTTTGTCTTTTTGTTACCTATTCCAGAGAACTGAAACACAGCCCAGATCCCTGACCCTGCTGTTGGGTCCTGGTTCATCCCTGCTGTCACCTCTGCCTACACATGGGGTCACAGATTGGTTTGGGTGAGAAGGGACCTAAAAGGTCATCTCATTCCAACCCTGCCATGGGCAGGGACACCTTCCACTAGCCCAGGTGGCTCCAAGCCAGGTGTCCAACCTGGCCTTGACCACTTCCAGGGATCCAGGGGCAACCACAGCTTCTCTGGGAATTCCGTCTTAGCCCCTCACGACCCTCATAGAGAATTCCTTCCCAAGATCCCATCTAACCCTGCCCTCTGGCAGTGGGAAGCCATTCCCTTGTCCTGTCCCTCCATCCCTTGTCCAAAGTCCCTCTACAACTTTCTTGGAACTCCTTTAGGCTCTGGAAGGGGCTCTCAGGTCTTCTTCTCTTCTCCAGGTGAACCCCCCCAGCTCTCCCAGCCTGGCTCCAGAGCAGAGGGGCTCCAGCCCTTGGAGCATCTCTGGGGCCTCCTCTGGATTCTCTCCAGTAGCTCCATGTCCTTGTGCTGTTGTTCCCCAGGGCTGGAGGCAGCTCTGCAGGGGGGGTCTCAGCTGAGGGGGCAGAGGGGCAGAATCCCCCCCTCCCCTGCTGCCCACGCTGTGGGATGAGCCCAGGACACGGGGATTTCTGGGCTGGGAGTGCCCATGGCCGGGGCATGTCCAGCCTTCATGACCCCAAATCCTTCTCCACAGATCCTCTCCTCCCTCACATCCTTGCCTGGAGTGCAATGTTCTGTTTGCTGGTCAGACCTTCAGGGGATTTTCATTCTGAAACCACAGCCAGGGAGCGTTCTCTGTTTAAGATTTGAAAGTCTAAACTGGGAAGCCCTGAACCAAAAATTTTCCCCCTAAGCCTGTTGTAAAATAAGGTGATAAACACAAAAATAACCACAATTCTGGGACTTTTTGAAATAAAAATCTCCATATTCAGTTTTTCTTGTCCTATGGAATTCTATGGCCATTATGCAATAAATGCTGCTCTGATTTGATGGAATTGTGCCTCAGCTTTGTGGAAGTAAATGGGCAGTTACAGAGCTCTGTGGAGACAGACTCAGATAAAAACAAAGTGCTTGGTCTTACCAAGGACATTTCCTGACGTTTATAAACACTAATAAGGGACAATAAAATGTCCCTAATGCAAAGTGAAAGCTGTCCTTGATCAGCACAACCCTTCAGAACATTCTTTTCTTTCAAAGGAGCCACATCTTCTTTTTCCTTCTGAAAACAAAAGTAATGTGGCCTTCAAACACAATCTCTGGGCTTCTCCATCAGGGAGTTTTTTATGTTAATTTAGGTTTCTGGAGGTAATGAAGAATTCAGCTTTGTGTGGGTTTTCACTTAGAGTGGATGGTGCACATTAGGGAAGATCTGGAGGTTTTTAAAAGTCAGATTGCAGCTTTTCAATCAGCATTATTCAGCTTAAAACAACCTTTTCATTATGTTTTCAGGACTTTTCCACAGAAATGAGTAGAAGAGACACAATTAATTTTCCTGATTTTAGGGATAGGGTTCTTTGATCCCCAAAAGCAGGAATTGTCCTCAAGAAGAGTGTTATTTTTCTATTTTTCTATTTATTTTTAAAATTTAGAGGGGGGGTTATTTATTTTATTTTATTTATTTATAGTTTATTTTCTATGCAAAAAGCCAGTAGAGCA